ATAGAGGTTGCAGAACTCTATGTAGGGTGTCACATGAGGCCTATTTTCCCAAGTCTTTTCTCTTTTGGGGGATTGGATGCCAATTCCTAGACATTTAGAAAGTTGAGTCCGAGAGTGGGATATCTATGCCTTTCTCACTGTTTCCATAAATCCCTCTCTTCTATTTCAATGAATTCCCACCCTTCACCCAACACCACAGAGCAATGCTGCTACCTCCCCTGTACCCTGCTCTTGGTGATTTAGAACCCACTTGAAACCCTCCTGATACAGGAGAAAAAGACAAACCAGAATTCTTAGCATCTCAGTTTTAAAAGTAAGATGGTCCCAGTGAAATTTCTCTATACTGTGTTGAAGGCAGGGACATTTTATCTTTGCCTCTTGAAAAATGAGCCTGGCACATGGTAGTTATTCTGCAAATATATATTACACTGGACCTAAATTTCACAATGCAAATCCCAGTTCTCTCTTTTAGCTGTGCAATCTGTGCAGGGTTCTTAGCCTCTGTAAGCCTCATGTTTCTCATTTGGAAATGAGGTTGATGATTTCTGCCACTTGAGAATTATTGTGGAAAGCATATTGTATAATTAATGTACAAACCCTCACACAGTGCCTAATTCATAGGAACAATAAACAAGCTATGATTATATCCTGAATACTCAATTCATATCTTAATGTGTGTTTTCCCCTCTTTTATTTTGCAGAGGTTTCTGCTGTTTTTGAGGCTGGCACTTCAGTTACTTACATGTTTCAAGAACCCTACCCAGTGACCAAGAATCTAAACCAGTCTTCCTCAGCAATTTACGCAGAGCCGGCTCCATCTAAGGAAAACATCGCACTTAGCTTTGTGACAGCCCAGGCACCCAGCCTCTTGCTTTATATCAATTCTTCCTCTCAGGACTTCCTGGCTGTCCTGCTCTGCAAGAATGGTGAGTGCTGATGGCAGGGAGCCTGATGGAGTGTCATATTGGGCTAGAGGGAAAGTACTAGTATATGCCCTCCAGAACTCTGCAAAATTTTAACCTAAATTTGGTGTCACTTGAGCAGCTTATTTCCAGACCTCCAGGCAAACCCTTGATTGAACTTGACCTTTATGAGTTGCAATTGATATTCCAGGCCAGTGTCAGTTCATCGCTGAAGTCAAATGCATCCACTTTAATTTGCCTTGACAGTGCAGTGGTAATTCTTTATTATTTATTCTGTGCTGGGATCCATTAAATGTAAAAAGAAGATCATAAGCGTATCTAAGTTTCAGAAGGACACTTGTCACATATATCCTGCCATCTTTACTGCAGTCTCCTTTACTAAGGGCCTTTAAAGCAACGAGCATAAATGCAGGCTGTATTAATAGAAGTGGATTGCTGGATCTTGGAGAGAAGTGGTATATGTGGATCATAACCTTGCTGGATACAGATCTGAGTTCTGAGAATCAGATTCTGAAAAGAATGTGAACAAAATGGAATATCTGAAGCTTAGAGGGATAAAGGAGTTAGAACCCATCTTATATGAGGGATGGTGAAAGACACCAGTTTTGATAGCTGTTAGGACAGGTTTTCTGTCCTCACAATTTAATTCCACATTGACAGAATGAGGACTATTGATACGGTCATGGCAAGGGCACTATGTGATCAAAATCCTATGGGAACAAACAATTATTAGGATTAGGCAAAGAGGGCAGGATGTGGACATCCCTGTAGCATGGTCTCAAAGACACTTTTCTGTGATTAAGAATATGTATTTTCTCTTCTTGTAATTTTCTGTTATAATGAGATGTGTCTGGGCTTTAGAACCATCTCCACAGGGATCAACAGTGGTGGGGGATGGAAGAAAGAGCCTGAAATATGCAGCTCACACTGTGCCTTCTCCAGACCTCAGACACAGACTCTTGCTATTTCTCTTGCACTACTTTTTCTTGTGTGTTTTTTTTTCTTCTTTGTTTGATCTTGCTTTAACTATTTACAGCATTGAAAATAAAGAATGGTGTATAGAACTAAAACAAGGATCAAAACTGGTGGGCCTCTGAGTTGAATCAGGCCTGAATGGCATAATGGAGTAATACATATTTAGTCCGATAGTGACTTCTGTTATGCGTTGTCTGTATCCATAGGAATGGCCTGACAGGTACAGATAGATGTGCCTGTGGAACCACACTAAAGATGCTTTGGAGGGAATCTTGCATCTCAGTGCTCTGGAACTATCTTACTTAGAGTTCAGCAATGTCCAACCAGAACTAAGAGGATTGAGACTAGAAGCCAGATCCGATAATCAGCCCAACAGCCTTTCCTCTAAACTGGGTGACCTTACTATGATTTGGTTGAACTCTAAGATAGTTCCAGAGCACTGAGATGCAAGATTTACTGGTTAACATGGGTCAGCCAGCTAATTCAGGGCATAGCTGAGACTAGAAGCCAGATCTGATAATCGGCCCAACAGCCTTTCCTCTAAACTGGATGACCTTACTATGATTTGGTTGAACTCTAAGTAAGATAGTTCCAGAGCACTGAGATGCAAGATTTCCCCCAAAGCATCTTTTGTGTTATCTCACAGGCACACCTGTACCTGTCAGGCCATTCCTATGAATATAGACAACGCATGACAGAAATCACTATATCAGACTAAATATGCCTTACTCCATTACTCTGTTATAATATACTAGAGGCCTGGTGCATACCTAACCACTCCGCCTGCCTGTCTGATCGCCCCTAACCACCTCTGTCTCTGCCCTGCTGCTGCAGCTTCATCTGGAAGGATGTCCAAATACCAAATAGGTCCTAAACTGGCAGTTGGACATTCCTCTCACAATCTGGGATCACTGGCTCCTAACTGCTGGCCTGCCTACCTGCCTGATAACCCCCAATCACTCTGCCTACTGCCTCATCACACCTAACCACTCCGCCTGCCTGTCTGATCGCCCCTAACCACCTCTGTCTCTGCCCTGCTGCTGCAGCTTCATCTGGAAGGATGTCTGGAATGACATATGAAAGATTTGCCTATTCAATCTAATTAGCATTTTATACTTTTATTATTATAGATACTCTATGGGCACTATTCTAATTAATGCACACATTAATTCTCACAATAACCCTGTGTGATTGGTGTAGTTGTAGAAACTAAGACCTAAATGTTTAATATCTTGATTAAAATTCTACAGCAAATAAAGAGAATAATTGGGACTCAATCCTGCTTCCCAAGACTGGCAGCTTATTCTGTATACTCCACCACAACAGCTAAACTAAGAGTATTACATTTTTTGAAACATATCATGTTTTAAATCATTTGAATTTATTTAATTGGTAAGGCATTATTGAACTTTACCTTATTCCCTGTATTCTTATACTCTAAAGCCCCATGTCACTGAAAAATGTACTTGAATTAATGGACACCTGCATTTTAATTTATTTTTTTTAATTTTATTTATTAATTTTAGAGAGAGAGAAAGGGAAACGGAGGGAGAGAAATAGAGAGAAATATTAATTTGTTGTTCTACTTATTTATTCATTCTTTGGTTAATTCTTGTATGTTTCCTAACAGGGGATCAAACAGGCAACATTGGCATACAGGGATGATGCTCTTACCAACTGAGCTACCTGGTTAGGGTTAGACACCCACATTTTTAAAACCCTGGCTAAATGAAGGAAGCAGAGAGAAACCTGTGCCTTGTTCATTTGTTTTAAGGTTAGATCTCAGTGCAGAGGTAAAAGTGCAGGCCTGGCAGCTCCATCTAACTCATGGGAAATAGGTGTCCAAGCCATGGTTAGTAATGAAGTGCCCCCCTCTCTCCACCTCAGATAGAGAATCACCACCCAAATGCCCAAACACACGCCCCCACCATTGCTCTAGGGAACTCCTATCGCAGTAGACAGTGATGGATGGCGCAGAGATTTAGGATACTGGCATTTCCTGCCATCTCTCCTCACTGCAGAGGCACAACGAAGATATGTGCTCATTCACTCATCCTTTCATTGACTCTCTGGGTGTTTACTAGTCCCGCTGCACAGTGTCAGGGACTCGGGGACTATGAAGATCAACAAAGATAAGCAGGATCGAGTTCTTTCTAAACATAATGAGAGAGAGAGAGAGAGAGAGAGAGAGAGAGAGAGAGAGAGACTGCCTTAAATTTCCTGGAAAACAACCTAGCTACATAAAAAATCCAAGTTGCTCATATGTCCCAAACAGACCAACTAGAAGTCAGAATTTGTCTAACTTTAAGGATGAATCTCCTAAGAACTCAGGGATTGTAATAAGAAAGTAAAATAGCTTAAGTGATAGTGGATTCCTTGCTTTGGAAGTCATCAAATAATAAATAAATGACAATTTATTAGGGATAGCATAAGAATTCCAGCAGTGAATGACCCAGAATAAGAAACTCTGAGTGTGTTTTCAAGTCTGAGATTTTGTGATTTTGTATTCCTTTCTTGTGTAGTCATGCTTTTGTATTTCTTTCTGCTAGAGTTTCACTTGCTAACTTTGAAATGCTTCACTGAGGAACTAAGAACTGGTATCCTTACAGCTTGTTCCCAGCATGTTGGTGGTGTTAGGCCACTGATATAATTGCCAATGAACAATATTGGTGACCCTGTATTATAAAGAGGTAGGGATATTTTAATGTGACTTGGATACATTCCTGTGAAAAATATGCCTCTGAAAATACTAATGGAAGTTAAGAATATTTATAGATGGAAACAAAAGATTAGGAGATCAAATATGGTAAAGGGTTAACTGGGAAAAGTCTTTCTCTAAAAGTTTTATAAGATTGATTCTCACCTTCCTGAGATGGATTAAGGGTCTTCTGTTGGTTCAGGTTTCTTAACCTTTCTTTGATGTAAGGTGCCTCTGGGAATCCGGTGGAAATGATGATGAGAGCATCACCCTTAAAAGGAGTTCTCTTTGTTCTCCTGGGAGGAAGAAAGTGCCCACAGCCTTTGTCAATCCCAGCACTCAGGGTTAAGAAGTCAGGGGTGAACACAGTGGGTGACCTGTGTAAATACTGAGTGGAATTCTTGGCTTGCAAATTCATTTAATAAGGTTCCCAGGCCAGGGAAAG